GTTCGTATTTAATACATTCGAGTTATTTTTGAGTAATCTGTGTACCTAATAGAAAGTACAAGTTTCACAATTAAAGTGTACGGTATTTTAGATCCTAAACAATAGGAACATCTATGACTCAAAGGTTGTAAATTAATTCCAGTTTGATACAGACTTGCGTCACGTACTAGCCGTGTTAATAAAATTATAAAGAGTCCACTGTAGTAATCGAGTCATTAATATTCACGGGTATGTTGCATAATTGTTTTTTACTAGACTTAAATATGTACAGACCGCGTGTAAAGCAAACACGGTCGTGTATATAAATGTACATATGATACTGACTTTATGTGTTGGTGCTGGAAAACAAACAAAAAATTACATCTTAATAATGACAAAAGCCTTGCCGCGTATAATTTTCGTCTAAACAGATTAAAATCGCGATAGAAATTTAATGAACCTCTTGATGGTCGGAATAGTTGAAAGGAACCAAGACCAAAGAAAAAACAAATATCGTGGGAATATTGTATTCCTTAATACGTGATGAGCTTGTTAACATTTTAATTTGTGTAGCGTTTTATTAAACTTCAGTTTTTTTTATTATTAGTAATGAATTATAATTGTTCATTTACAAAAATATCAGATAATAATTCATAATGCATTGTACATTTCCAGAATAATTATTTAACAGAAAAAACTTTTTTTTATGTTTAATTAAATGTAAAAAGTATTCTGGAAAGCAAAGTAAATAGTAATTTCTAAATACTGAGATTCAAAAAGCAACTTGCTGAAATTTACTTATTAAGCCGTAAGTTCGACATTATTATAATAACTAGTTAATCAATTATACGAGTTTATACATTTTGTTGAGTTATTTTTATCACATCATCTCTAGTACAGATTTTTATTAATTTACACGAAAACATAGTAATATGTTGTTTCTGAGGTTACAGTTTGGGAAGATTTGGGGGATTTAATCTTCCAAAACAAAAAATATGACTATGTTATTATACATAGAATGTTCTTTCGACAAAGTTATAACAATTTGAGACCTCTTAAAGTGGCATAAATAACATTTTTAAATTGAATCTAAAAACACATATGCTTCCTGGCTTTAATTATTAGGTTAAGTATTGTTTTATTATTAAGATAAATAAAGCTATTTTTTAAGTGATTAGGTTTATTATAACATTTTTTTTGTCATGATAAAACAGAAACATTGCTCTAGAATTCATAATACAATAAAAAATATCATAATCAATTTTACCTATAAAATGGTAATAGAAATCAGATGAAAAAAGTTATATTGATCTAAATCGTATTTTTATCAAATATTAATTTTCTTTAAATATTTAATAGAATCATATTAGTAGTCATCCATAATGATGTCGAAAAAAAATTAAAAAGACCATAACTTTGTTTGTCGATTAAATATAAACCATATATGTCATTGTTATAAATTTGTGGAGAATATTGGAATTCGTGCAAAACACGATTTCTAATAATATAATATTATATGATAATTTTGCGTCATTGAAAAAATATAATTTTACATTAGATTTTTATTGATTTTCTTATTCGATTGATTTATGTTTTTTTCTTAAAGTCATTAATTACATAGAATTTTAGTTATAACTTAAAAAACAACGGTACATATTTTCCTATACATTTTATTTATTTTATCAAAATCGTTAACAACAGTAATTTGTTTTGTATTTGAAAGAAAAATAATACTTTTAGCTTGTTTAATATTAATGTTATTAATCATTATGGAATACCTTCTTAAGTATTGTATATAAAATTCGCAATCATACTAAATCCTGTTATCTACTATTGCTATTGGTTACCTTTAAGTTTAATCAAAAATATTTCAAGTCTTATAAAGTTATTTTATTAATATAAAATACCATTTTTAAATAATGAAATATAACATTAAAGTATGATAAATTTTATATTTAATGTATTCAATTTTAACTTGGCTATTTTGGAACCACTAAAAATATGAGAAAATATCAAAATTTAATATTTATCAACCATTTGTTTGTAATAAAAAATTTAATTATTTATTTCAATATTGGACTCTTCTCCATGAGGCACTAACCCTAATTTACTTTACTAATTAAGTAAATAGAATTTGTGAGAATTAACATGAAATTATGCTTTCACAATTTATGAATATTTTCTAAAAACTGATATGTCATTTTAAAGAAGAGCAAAAACAAATTTAAAATCTCAATGTCACCTATAGAAAATAACATTTTAAAAGCGCAAAAAATAAATGTCGTTAAAATTTGTTTTTGACACATGAAAAAAAAACATCCTCTTCTATAAAAATTATTAAAAAAACTGGAATACCCAATTTTGTGAAATTTCAGCTTTTGAATATTAGCCACAGAAATAATCTATATAATGGTCGCATTAAAATAACGCTTAATAAAAATATTTTTAAAATTTATTTCTGAACTGCTCGGTCAGAAATCTACAGAATAATAATTACCAAACACAGTTTTAATTAACTTTTATTTCATCAAACTCGAAATTCATTTAGATATTATGCGAAGTGGATGAATGATTTTATTGTTGTTCGTCGGAGGGCGACGGAAAATTAAACGTTTTGTATACAATAAGGGTGAAAACTCATAATTTTTTATGTGAAAAAATCCGTAAGAAGATTAGTGTTTTTCAAACACGTCCTGCAATTTCGGAATCTCGGACAACCCTAAACGACCGAATCGAAACAAACAATGATTTTTTTTAATTTCCCCTACGGAAGTTTTTTCTTATAATACCGTCGTTTTACCCTCACGCCAATGCTTAACGGCGTTGTTGTTTTTTCTTTTAATGGTTCATTCCATGTAAGTAATCCGGTAAAAACCGATCGTCCGGCGTATTACTCCCCTTTTTATGTCTGACCGAACAAAACAACGAAACATCAGATCTTTTCTTAATTACCTTTCAGGCGTTCAGCTTACTTACACCAAATTTGCTGTGTTCACTATCACGTAATTATTACAATGCTAAATAAAAATAATAAAATAAACATCCATTGTTATACATTAATTTAAAAAAGAATAATAGTAGTAAAAGCGTATATGATTTAGATTTGTTCATTAATAATAATTTTAAATAATAAAAAAAACTGTTGTTTCGCTAAATCAATTATTTTTTCATTCTTTTTAAATGATTCTATAAAATCCATTCTAATTGTTAGTAATTAATCTTCTTTATTGTTAAATACGGCTTTTTATGATCAAATTTAAGGAAATTACCAACCAGAAGGGTGACTGTTTTCTCGATGTTCCTTGAATATAGATACTAGTTGAAATTAAGTGTATATTTTCAATAATTGTAACGACAACATTGATTAACTTAAAAATTTGATACAATGACAAAAAAAAAACTTGAAAATTAACTATAGCTATAAACATATGTAAAAATTTGAAAATTTTTAAAGATAAACCTTTAAGTTAAACTTTAGTAAAATGAAAATGTTCAGTAATTCATGACAATATTCAAATTTCATTAATCTTTTACTTACCAAATAGGTAATTGTACTAATTTGAATTTTAGATACTAAAATTGTATTAATGAAGAATATTCAACTTTTATTTTTTTAAATTTTAAATTTAAAAATTTTTGTTCAGCCAATATAAATGAATAAATATATTTTGTTAACTTTTGTAGATCTTATAAATTTATTAGGGAGAGAAGAGCTAATTCAATAAAAATAAACAGATTTTGACCACTCTACGCCTAATACTTAGATTGAAAATACTCAAAAGTATTAGGAATACATTTTAAATATATTTTTTATTTGTACTTAAATACTTACTTAAAAATATTTAAATACAAATTTCAAATACAAACATGAGTATTCTTAACGTGTATGATTATTAATTAGTAAAAATGTAGAGATTAATCTGTTATACATAACTATATGACAAAAAAAAAATTTTGTATTTCATTTAAAAATAGGTACTTTTTCTTCTCATTTAATTCAACAGTTTATTTGTTAAATGCGTCTCATATTCTAAACAATATTTATAGTGATTTTTTAATCACTGATAACTTAATAATTAAACAAATAATATTGAGAATATGAGTTCCTTAATCGATTACCCTATTTTATCAATTTATTAATTATGAAGTATTTTAGGTTCATCCTAAATCTTGTTGAGTAAATATTTTTTAACTTAATGATTACATACAAATATTGTACGTAAAAAATATATTAGTTAACGTCAAGTTGAGGTGGTGAATTAACTTGGAACAGTGAAATATACATTGTGATTTTAGTCATATTATTCTACAACACTAGTCAAATGTTTACAAGTGTTGTTAAAAAACAAAAAATGTTTGTTTGTAAAAATTAAGCGATGGATTATGTAAAATAATTAACTGCTCCAAGTTTAACTATCTACCCAAATTAAAAGTAAGTACTTAGAACGACCAAAATTTAATGTCTAAAATAGCTCATAAATTCTGTCAATAGGATTTATTTGCAAAAAATGTGCATAAAAATATCACTATCTAAAAAAAAAAAAAAAAATTATTACTTACATTAAAATAATACTTCAAGAATTGTTTTTTATAATTCATAAAAAGTTTACCTAGAATCAACAGTTTAAAGTTGATTGCTAGTGTTTGTTTTAAATTTAATTGAAATAATAAAAACTGAAATTAAGTAATAACTAATAGCATAAATTTATCTATCAGTTATATCATTTTCTTATCAATTACCTAATATTCTATTAATTATACTTGGTTTTTTTGTAATCTATTTAATATGTTAGATAAATTAATATGAGTAATTTAATAAACAACGTTTGTAAAAAAATTGAAATTAATGAATAATAATACATACATCAAGTGTTATATTTTATTTTTTTAAAACACATTTGTTATTAGTCAACTTAAACAATGATTCAGTTAATTTTAATACATTAAAATAATACCTATATTTTCGCTATTCATTAAAATTAAGTCAAAGAATATTTATTTAGTGTTTAGCGTTCGTTTTGTTATATCAAAGAAAAAAATGGATTTGACAGTTTCTATAATGAAGACAGTATATAAGAGACTTTATTCATAATTTTGACTTCAAATCATAATACATTTATTTAGTATAAATAAACAAGTTGTAAATTATAGTCTAATTTATCAAAAATAATGAAGATTTTCTGGTATTCCATATTAATTATTTGTGTTATATATAATTGTTTTCAAGGTAATTTAAAAATATGCTAATATCAATTTTTATACAAGAAAATTCGTTTACCATAGTATACTTAATTAATTGGAAAATAAATAAATATTGAAAAATTTTTTTTTGATTTATCAGTTATTAAATATCTTTCATAATATTTAATATGTGTTACAACTTTATTTTTTTAATCGGCAATATACATATATGACTTTATTAAACAATTAATTCCGACTATAGAAAATTATCCAATCAAGAAAATGATTAATAACAACTTTTAGACCAATATTTTGGAAATTACCAAACATTTTTATGCTTGAGCAGAAAGAATGCAACCGAGATATGTCTAAAGATAGAAATAAATAGTCATCCTCACTTCTCTCTCTTAGTCGACAATTTAAAATCGTTAAAATTTCAGAAATACTGGTCTATAAATAGTTATCGACCCTTTTATTTTCATAATAAAGTCATTTTTTATTTTATAAGCCAGTCAAGTATATATGTTGCCGTTAATAAAAATAAATTTGACACCCCATAAATTATATAGAGGATGATACTAAGAGGTAACTGATCATTGTCATCAACATAGCCTTTATTCGAACTATTTGTAATCAGCTTTGCTTTAACCATTAAAATAACAATAAAATTAATAACTTAAAAAAAAATTTTGTAATTAAAAATAACAACATTTTTTTTTCAATATTGCTTTTGTATGTAATTGAAATAAATGGTTAATTTTGTGTACATTTATTTATTTAAATATTATAATTAAAATTATATTTATAATAAATTAAAATAATATATGTTAAAGGAATAAATTCATTGGGTAAGTTTCTAAATATTAATTTTTACGTTTTACAATATAGAACAAACAAAAATGTTGAAAATCACCATACAATAAGAAATTGATTTTTTTTCTTTATTTTAAATAAAATCCAATTTGAAAAATCATAATGATAATATAAAAAATATAATTTTATAGCTTTTTTTTTAAAAAAGCTTCTAACTCTATGTATATTTTTTCGAAAAATCAATATGGATTAATATTATTATGTAATCTTATTATCGAATTATATTATATTATGAAAAAATATTATTCATAATATAAATTTATGTCTACTAATTTATTAAATAAATATGTAAACGATATTTAAGGTATATTTTTGACTAACCCAGAAGTAAAAAATTATGTAAAAGGTAAGTAGCTTAATAGCTCATTTAAACTATAAATCGCAAATTAAAATTATTATAAAATTTCAAACCATATCAACTATTTTTTAACGAAATTGTTTTAATTATGCACAATACAAAACGCTCTTATCAAACTTATTTGATTAGTATTTAATAAATGTAAAAATTCAGAGTTCGGTGCAATGATTAGGGATCTTGGTAAATTATAAATGCATATAATTTGATAAACTTAATACCAAATCAATATCACAATAACACATAGATAAATTGTGAAGAAAATAGTAAAATCGTATTTTATGTTTCAGCATTAAATATAGAAAAATCAGGTACGAACTAATGACTAATATAATAATATTACAGGGTTAAAAAACGTTAATCATAAGTTTTTGAATCATACTTAGCTTGTAATCTATTTTCCTTGTAACAATTAGTAATATTTTTTTTATATTATCTTTAGAAAAATATTACATAGCCAATGCAAAGTTAAAAAAACTGCAGGATTATTTAGTCATTTTAACTCCCTAAAATAATAATTTCATTCACATTATTAATATACTCTGCTCTTTCGATAAATAGTGATTTTTTATAGAAAATGTTTGAAAAAAATTATATTAATTTTATAATATGAATTAATTTATTTAAACTTCTACAATAAACATTAAGCTTTTTTAGTCCATTCTTCAATTAATTAAGAAACACATATTAAAGATTAACATTTAATTTTGAATGCTGATCTTAAGTAATAAATTTTTATAATTAACTTAATATATATTATATATCTTAAAGGTATAGAAAACTATTTTCAGTATATTTTTATGAAAAAAGCGTGTAACGAAAAATTAGGGTATATTATTTTTTATAATGACACTGTAAACATTTTTAATTGGCTTTTTTTAATTTATTATGTATTATAGTTAATGAACGAAAATTTTGAGCGTAACTAAAAGGGGTTAAGTGGCCAAATTGAATCTTAATAAGTCCATAAGATCAATCAAATTGACTTAGTTGCCTTCATACAAAAACGACTTCTCTGTTCCCCCGACAGAAATATATTTTTAACATAATATTATTTTAATGAGACATGTCAACTTTTAGTCCTTTTCTATATTATTTATATAAAATGATGATTTTAAATTCTAAAAAAAAATAATTAATAAATACACTTTATAGAAAATGGATCAAATAATTACACTAATAGTAAGCTAAACAATAAATTACTTAAAAAAACAATAATTTAATTACATATTTCTTAATTTTTAAGTGCACAGTAACTACTAAAACTAGCATATTTTGAAAATTGAAGACCAAACCTACACCATTTATAATTTTTTTTTATAAAATAATTATAGACAGCCAGTTTCATAAAAAAATCGTTTATCGAGATTAAAAGAAATTTGGAGATTTTTAATAAAAAAAAAATTTTTATATTTTTTATAACTTTTAAGTGTTTTTTGTTTAATTACTAATTAAACTATTATTGAAATGAAATCAGATTTGGATTGAGCGACAAAATTTCATTTAGGATTCATCAAAATATTGTAAATTGTAGAAATTTTGTCTAGTTGTTGTCCTGTGTAATTAATTATTAATCAGTAATAAATTATTATTTTTTAATTATTATAATTTATTATTTAATTAATGATAATACTTTTCCGTATAATTTTAAACAAATATTAAATCAATTAATATCTAAAGTGATATCATTTTTAAAATTTGAGATTATTAATGATTTGTGTATTTTAAAGAAAATGGATTTCTATCTGAACCAGAAATAAAAAATCTAGTAAATGGTAAGTATTTAACGATTTCTTATAGAAATTAATTTCTTTTAAACAAATAAAATTGACTTTTAACAGTAGTGAATTACAGTTTTCTATAGTAATTTCAAATAAAAAAAAACATATAGCTTACAATTGACAATAATGTTTCCTTACTATATTTTTAAAAAATGATTGTTATCGCAAAAATTCATAAATAGACACATTAGTTGTAGTAAAGCAATATGTTGATATAGGGTAAACTGATAAATTAATTTTTTTTCTTAAAATATAAAGCAGATTTTATTTTACATTGAAAAATTCTGTTTCTCATATGTTTTTTTATTATATAAATGTTAATTCGAAATAAAAACTTGCACATTTATCTAAAAAAATACATTTACCATTGTTCTTCTTCACCCTATGATTTACTCAAACTTTTCTAAGTCACGTTCAAAAAATTAAGTCTATTTATTAATGTTGATCCATACACTTTTCAATATGTCATAGCATTATAAAGTTAAAAATGTAAAAAATAAAATCGACAATTTTCACACAATAATAGCATTCGGTAGCCATTTTCACCATGAAGATAAAATAAAATCCGAAATTTTTTTTTTGCATAATAAAGTATATTACATTAGCTTTAATTTAAGATATATATAAAAGTGTCAGACTTTCCGGAACACTTTCAAAAGTTAAGTTGAAAAAGTAAATTTTTTGTGAAAAAGTTGTCATTTTAAATCCACCACTGTGGGCAGGTAAAGGGTCAGATTTATAAAAAAATATATACCAAATGATAGGTAAAGACATCAAACATCTATAAAAAAAAATTATATTGATTTGATCATTTTTGGTAAAGTTGTCATAACTTTTTTTAACTGTCATAGTTAAAAAAAAAAAATTTCGAAAATTAGCTATTTTTAAATTTGTAATTTTTTTGAAGGTTTCCCCCATTTACGGGGAACGAGGGAACTGTTTCAATTTTTGAGGGTAATGTCTTCGACTAGATACGATTTGTGATATTTTGACGTATCATTGAAAGAAATCGGCTCGGTGAGAGCTGAGAAAAAGTGATAACAGACACAAAAAAAAAAAAAAACACATCTTAGTAAAAACAATACCTTCTCAGCTTCGCATCGAAGCTAAAACTTAAAAGAATTTGGAAAAAAATAATGAAAACTAGAATTTTAAAAGTATGTTAAAAAATATTTTATAACGTATTTTTAAAAATAAACAGTAATTGTACATTGAATATATTTCGTAAGTTATTACAAGTTGGGTTTACTCGTATTCCACATGAGTTATCTAACTTGTGAAAATTATAAATTTTAATTAACCGTGAAGAGTATTTCGTAACTACATTTAACTAAACGTAAATACTATTTATTTCATATTTCAAAGATAATTGTAATTGTAATTTTATATTTCAGCATTAAAAATAGAAAAACAAGGTATGAATTGTAACTTATATAAATAATCTTGAATGAATTTAAAATGTTCAAAATATTTAATCAATTTTATTAAACATCAAATGAATAATAAATTTGAAAGGGGACAATGAAGTATATTAATTAAATAAAAATGTTTTGATGTAACATTTTAATAATTATTTTTCAATTAATATCACATAAATTTCAAATAAATTTGTAACCTTATAATTTTTTTTATTACAGAAAAACGTATAAATAAAAGATGATAACTAATTTTAAAATCTTTCTATGATGAAAAACACGTTCATTATACAAACTATGGAAGAATATAATTTTATTGATGTTGGCATAAAAAACTTAGAATTATAATTTAAAAATTGTGTATCATAATTTATTCTTAATAAACAAATTTTACCTAAATTAATAACTATGCAAATAGACGTTGACTTTTTTATTGATATTTTCTACTTATATTTTAAGTCTAATGTGGTAAAAACATGTGTATTACTTCGAGTTTACAAGCTTGAATTTATATGAGTGTAAATATTAAGTTTTTGTGTTATTAATTCATAATAAAAGCGTCTAGACTACATATTTTTGAATGAAATTTTGCATTCATTGTTCTAGATAAATTAACTTAAATAATGTCGTTTAAAGACTAAATTCATCAATATTACTTTATATGATCAATTGTTACACCCTTAAAAAAGTATCCGAATTAAACATTAAACATGTATTCGAATTTTTAAACGCATTCAATGCTAGGAAATTTTAAATAAATAATCATGAAAAAATTATAATTGTGTACAAATATAATCAAACTTCTTCACTTTGCTACTCTCTGGTTATGACTTTTTAGTTTTCAAATATCAAAATCATTATTAACATTATTAAGTATTCTAGGGTTTATACACAAATGTCATGGTTTTCGCAATAACATATTTTTAAAATTATAAATATTTTACTTATTGTGCACTTGTATTGTATCGGCAAGATGAGCTTAAGAAATTATTAATGCTTATTTTTAAGTTGAAATTCGTTAATTTTTCTAAGTTCAATACAATTTACATAAAGATTAAATCTAAATTTCTAATTTCGATAAATCCGACTCAATTATTATTAAATACTTATATTTTTTAATTAAATAAACTACGTACTTAAAAATTAAGTCTTTATTTTTTGTATTCTATATAATTTTAAAATATTTTGAATACTATCAATTTTTTTAAAAAAAAAACTTTTCATGGATTTAAGTCACTGTTGTGTTGTTTTCTTCTCGTGTAGTGGACGGTGAGTGTTATTTAGTTGGATGTGTCGTTCTATCTGTGATACGATCTCTCTTCTGATGTCTGGTGTAGTTTATTGCTAAGAGTATTTAAATATTTTCAATTGATGTTGATTTAAGGCTCCTCAAAATTAGACTGCAGGTCTCATTTAAAGTAATGTCTACCTTTTTTGCATGACATGATGTGGCCCATACAGAGGCTGTACATTTGGCTGCTGAGTAGTATGGTGATAGTGATAATGTTCTCGCAGTGTTTGGATCTGCTACACATGTTTTACCTAGAGCTCTGCATGATTCGGTCTTATACTTCAAATAATAAATTGGTCCGGGCCTAGTTGGTCTGTAGTTAAAAATTATCGGTCCTTTTTTTTACGGTCCCTTAAAAAGTTCATCGGTCCAGTCCTGGTCTTTGAAAAAAATTCAAGGACCCGGTCTCGGTCCGTCTTCAAATTGAGATATAGTCCACTTTTAATAGTAGTATAGTATTATAAATATATTTGTATTATTGTTTTTAGTAAAAACTCGCGCGTGATATAATAAAAAAAAATCATAATTTTTATCGTAATAGGTTTAAATTGTTTTCATTATAGTGAACGATGATAACACTCACTAAAAATTAAAACAATAAATGTCACATAAATTTTTTCAAATAATGACCCACGTGCCAATAGAATTCCAGGATCCTGAAATGTGATTTAAAATCATAGTGCATAATGTATTGCTTTCTTACGCTGTCAATCGTTAAGTGTATTATATTATTTCATAGTTTTTCTGTACACTTTGGAATAAACTGATCGTTTTTATTGACTGTAATTATGTCTAGACATAGAAAGGCTATTACTGCCCATTTAACATACAATATTATTTTCATTCAGTTAAGACTTAAAACCGTGTTTTTAAAGAATTACCCTTGTATTAATAACAATATTACATTTATGAGTCTTTGTACATTATGTTGGATAAAATAAAGTTGAGAAATATCAACTAACATAATCATTTGGCTTTATTTCTTTTTCATCGACGAAAGACGTCAGTTATTTTTAATCTGCCTGTAAGTATTTTTTCTTATAAAATAAATTTTTAATTATTTAAAAAATAGTATAATAAAAATAAGCACATATGCTTTTTAGGTGAGATAGAAAATTATTTTGTTTTGTACAGCTCTATATTGATAGGTGTTATTTTTTTTGTTATAAAATTAAACGTTACTCGTACAATATTTATCGAAGTAAAATAATATGCTAATAATAACTTGTTGAACCAAAAATTTCACTTAAGCTAAATAAACTAATGGCTTTTACTTAATATTTTAAGTGAAAGCTTATTCAAATATATCGTAATAATTAACAATCAGTCATGATTTAATTACCCTATATGTCAGACAATACTTTTTTCTATTAAATAAATTTGATGGTATGAAAAAAATTGGGGTTGCCATTTGACATTCGAAATGGTAGCACAAAATTAAATTTTCGTTTAAATTGCTCAACAATGAATCGTTAATGTAAAAAAAAAAAATNGCTCAACAATGAATCGTCAATGTAAAAAAAAAAAATTATTAAAAATAATAATTTCAAAGCTATTTCATGAGGCATAGTTAAGAAATCATTCTGTAAACTAAATATGTTACAACACGAATTTGAAATTATTAGTTTACTCAAGGATATTTTTGAGTTATTGAATTTTCTTTATATCCTATACAGGGTGATTCATTTATCATAAATAACTCAATTACACACAAAATAAAAATAATTATAGATAAACAAAAACATTTTAGTCTTGTTTTTTTTTAGTATCATGAATAATTCTCAACAAATTCGCGAGTTCTTGAACTCAACTTCGGTGAGTTCTATTGATAATGACTTTTCAAATAATTCTATTATTCCTTCTAACTTAGAGAATACAACTCAATCAACAATAAATTTAGAAAAAATCCAGCATTTACCGTCTCTAAAAAAACTGTTAAAAGAAAATTATTGAGTGATTCTGGTGATTATACTTTGTTTCCTCACGATGGGAAAAGTAGTGTATGGAAGAAATTTAAAAGTGTTATGACAACATTTTTGTCGTATCTGCTTTAATTTAGTCTGGGCAGAGTTTTTTTATTTTGTAATCCAGTTCGGTTCAGTCTGGGAATTTTTTTTTATTTTATAGTCCGGTTCGGTTCGGTCCATTTAAAATTTCTATCCGGTCTGGTCCAATTTAAATTTCATATAATAGTTCAGTACAGTCCTTGAAAATTCGGACCATGCAGAGCTCTAGTTGTACCTATGAGCTTTCAATTAGGTAATTTTTTGCATTTGTTTTATGTTTTCACTGTGGTGTTTTATAATAAGGTTCAATCTAGTGTGACACCAAGATATTTTAGATGTTTAGTATTTTTAATTCGACATCTTCCCAAATTATTTTTGTTATACGATTTGCTTCTTTTTTTTCTTAGATGAAAAATGTAAACAGGTTTTCTTAAAACCCTACACGTATAAATCAAATTTTAAACTTATACACAAAAGTTATTCATGTTACTTACTATTTGGAGATGTAAATGATATTTTATCTTCAATTTGTAGTTTATTTAAGAAAATTCAAATCATTGTACTAAAGATTAACTTATTAATTGATATTTAAAACTATTTATTAATCAAAAAGTTGTTATTTTTAATTATAATTGAACTTCAGTAATATTAAAATTAATTAATTTGATATCAGTGTGGGCACGAAAAAAAATTAACTAAATATTTATCCACCCACACTACATACTCGCCATATGTATTAAAATACTTGTAACTTAATAAATACTTATCCTAAAATTGTTATTTAAATATTTTGTAAGAAAAATTCTAAAAATATGCTATTTTGAAATTTTTAAAAAATTTAAAAGAGTTTATTTCGTAATTTTTAAATTATTAAAAATAAATAATAAACGTTTAACGTTGTCTATGAATGCAAAAATTGTTAAAAAAAAAAAATTACAGTGAAATTTTTACTATGTCAAATGTTATAAAAGTTGTCAGTCAGATCTTTTACATTCTGCATATCAATGACCAACCAAAAGCATCAGGTACTCAGCAGTCCTATATGCTGATGACTTAGCACTAACCGCACAAAATCTATCATTGAATAGTATAGAAAGTATCCTAAACAACGCTCTTGAAGAAAAGTCAGCTTACTACAAAAACTGGCTAAAACATAAAGCAAGTATGCACTTTTTATCTAAGGAACAAAGAAGCAAAACCTACAATAAAAGTAATTTGGAAAAGCGTCGAATTGAAAATACTGAACATCCAAAATATCTTGACGTCACATTTGATCTAATCAAACCAAACATAATTTTTATAAGTGCTTGGTAGTTGTTTATATTATGAACACTTTTTGAAGCAGGTAAATAGAAATTTAAATTTTTTCCCACTTTGTCCCGAACTAAATTTCACCACAAATTCCACTATTGATGATCTGGACGGAATCGTGGAATAAGTTAGAGCAGGCAAAAGACTAAATAGAATAAAGAGTCTCCGACACAGCCGCCGTAGCTCAGATAAGTTTGATTCATATATGCATAATTTATTTTTATCAAAAAATAAACACACCCACTTTAACACTGTTTATTCTCATTAATTAAATGAATACATAGATTGTAGTTTAACTGTAAACTGAATTGTTTATTTTGTTTGAAATTCTCAATCCTGACAATCAATCAAAATTTTCTAGCCCTAAAGGTCAACCATACTTTCAGATCCCGTCAGATGAACAATTTTTTAAACATAATTTTTGATGTTAGAATTAATTTTTTGTGGCTTTTTTATCACCATGTTTAATCTTTTTTTTATACGTATCAAACATATTAAAATTATTAATCTATTTATATTCATGTTTTTTGCAAATTTTCGAATCTACAAATCTGAGGGATGGTGTTATTTTGATCATTTTAATTATTTTTGTTAATGGCATTTAGAATTTAAGCTTTTAGAATTGTTAATGCCTCGATGTATAATATGGACATTTTTGTTAGTGCTATGTATTTTATTACCTGGTTATCGTGAACTATTCCCAATCCTATTTTATCGTCCATTTTCGAACATCAGTGTGAAAGAGGTTTTTATAGTTATGTTATTCCAGTATATTTTTGAGGTAGTTATTATAAATTGTGGGGTTGATTTTATTTTTTTTTAAGATTGGATAGCTCTATGTTTACGCTAAGTTTTATGCTCCAAGGTGCCTAAATCTATGAGAAATTCTACTTTTATTATTTTTTTTAGTTGTATTTCGTTTTTTTCTGTCCATTTTAAAACATTGTGTGAGTGTGTCGATGTAGGGTCATCTTGGTTTCTTAGTGTTCTGGCGGTTTAAAGAAAGGAAAGTTCTGTTCGGACGGTGATTTTTTAGCTAAATTACTTACGCTTTTTATGAGGCTAGAGCAAAATAATTCTAAGGCCAGTCTTATTTCCCAATATAGTATGGCTGATCATATTCATTATATTTAATCTCTTGTTTACGGTCACGTTTAAATGTTTAAGACGTTGGATCTAGTCACCCTGTTGTCAAAATATCATTGTCAAGTGAATGGTACATCATGGTTTTTAATATTAAACGGATGCATTTATTAAGAGTTGTGTCATTTATCTATTATTATTGGTATATTACGCTAGTATTGTTTGACTTGGGAATCATCGTTTGTTTTTCTTTAGTGTTTTTGGCATTTCCCATAAACTCTTGATTTTTAATGTTATAACTGAAATTATCTTTAAACAATTGACTTATTATGTTAACTACATCTTCATTATTTGTTACAGATATGAATTTTATTTTATATTTATTATACTTTGTCTACTTAGTCCTATTAACGATTGTATTTTATCCATATTTCGGATCAGTTTGTATACAAGTTAATGTTTTAAGTGTAGTTATTCCATTCCATTATTTTACTGTTTTTAATGAAAAATTTAATTCTTAGACTAAGTTTTTTAAGATTTATGAAATTTTCTAATTAAAGTTTTTGATATGTTTTAAGAGCTTTATTCTTGTTTTATACTTTCATTCCATCATGGGATTGGTTTGAATAGCATTCAATTTGGTTTTTTAAAGTTCTATCTTGTGTTATTTTTTGGATTTATTTATTTTGATATAAAATTTATATAAATTGGTAGATGGTCAATACTATAGATTTCTTGTGACACTTTTTAATAGAACCGTATTACAATGGTTGTGATGGTGAGATCAAGTTAAATGAATGATTTAATATTAATAAATTTTTAGCATTATTTCTGAGCAATCTAAACAATACAATTTTTTAAGTTCTCATGAAATTTCCAATTTTATGATGTTAATTTAAAATTAGTAAGATTTTTGCACTTATTATTGTTGATATATATTAAGAATCAAATTCAGTAATAATTTGGAAACATTTTCCCCTCTTTTTTTATGTTAAATGCTTGTTTTTACTAATTATTAATTTTCTCACAAACTAGAAGAAGTAAAAAAAAAAAAATCTAATTGTATTATTTCAGTATGAAAAATTGTTTTAGAAAAGAATGTTTTTGTCTCTGGTTATAAAAATTTCATTTCGTAAAGAATAGTGTTACTTATAATATTGTGATATAATATAAAATTGTTTAGGTTACAAAATTTAACGTAAAAGATTATAAATACGTAAAATTCGCACATAAAAATAATTTTAAAAGGTATTTTATTTTATATATAAATAAGTCAATAGCAATATTTATAATTTACATACGATTCCTCTGTACGAATTATAGTGGAATTTTATGAGCAAAACCAAAATAATTTTTATATAACAATATGAGATATTTTGTTTTTTTTAATTTAAAATCCTCTTAACTAAAAAAATTACTTCTTGTATGAGAGACGACGTGAAAAACTGTAAAATTTGCAGTATGTAATCGAATCTCAATACCTGTGCATCGAAACACAACGCAGTTCCAACCAAGCTGTATATAAAACCTAAGAATTGGTTTAAGCAAGAAAATAGAACAAACGTTTATATTTTTAATATAATTTATTTCACTATTTAAATAATCAATAACAAATGCTGAATATTAAAGCATTTTTCAATAAATCATCCATTGTCCATAATTTTCATTGATGAAATATACTAATACTTGTTGAAAGCTATAAATAAAATATTTAGTTTCAATTATAGAAAAGCAATATTTTTGTTTTAAAACGGATCTAACAGTTTTTTGCTATTGAATAGTTGTCATTAATATGTCTAAAGTATTACTAAAATATCTAATATTACTAAAAAAAAGGTGTAGGATTGATTATTACAGCTGTACTAACAAAACCAACATATGAATTATTTCGAAAAACAATGCAATTGCAAATTATTATTTTACTTATTACCAATCCTTGTTAGCATGTAAAAAAATTGGCAGAAATTGTACTTAAAACTTTTTAAAATAGATTCAGCGTATACTTTGTACTTAGTTTCTGAAAAAATGTTTAAAATTATCCCAGAATTAAAGTGTACTATTTAGTAATATGTATAGGCTTTACAAACGGTTTAGCTGATTTCATATTATTTATAAACCGCTAAATGTATCCAATTCAAGATGTTATGATCCAGAACCTGGTAAAATTTATAAAAGATGTTTAACAGCGAATTTAAGATTACATAAATAAAACGTTAATAATTATTTTTTTGCTCTTTTATAAGATAGAATAGCTCCTCGGAAACAGAGCCTACCCTATGATTTGAAAATTGTATATGTGATACCCATAATAATGTAAGTGCACTAAGATTGTACTTTTTGCACACCCCTTAAACTGACACTACTCAGAAAGATATCACTGAAATGAAAGTTATACAAATTATTTAACTTACTTATATTATAGACAATTTTTTTTATTTAGACTTTTATCTTTAGTTCCAAAACGCAGACCTATAGAAGAAATAAGCATTTTATTAACTTGGCAGAACATAATCTTTTTCCTCGCCTTAATCCCAACTAATTGGAGTCGGCCAAGTTTGGCAGAGCATAATTATGATATCAAATATATATAATATGAATGCACACTTTCAAAAATTTAATTAAGTTGTTTTGCTAAATAAGACCTTAGATATGTTTTTATATAATAATATATTTACATTTATAAAAATAAATAATAAAAGTAATTTTAATAGAAATTTTTTCTATTTTCCATTTAATTAAAGCTTAAAAACTTACCACATGCATTTATTTCTTTAACATTGCATTAAAATATAATTAATAAATAAATAGTATATTAGTAAATTGTACATTGTTTGTTTTCATATTACCTTGGATGATGTTGGTTAGAATACAAAAAAGTATTACGAAGTAATAAAAAATCTTCATATTGTAGAAATATATTCTTTACTCAAATTTTAATAACTTTTTTTATTTTGTCTTGATTAAATTACTTGTTTCATCAGAATTATTCAATAATTTCCGACTTAAAGAAATTCTAATGAATAGCAATGCGTCATAAAATAGCATGTGTGTGTTTAATTATATAAATAAATGAGTTCAAAACTAGTAAACAAAGTTTGAATGTTAGAAAAAAAAAATTAAAATTATTTAATATACACAATTATACAGAGAGATTGGTTTATTATAAACCATTAATATATATTAATATAAGACATAAAATGTCTTTTGTATACTCCTCTGTACGATGAAATTCTAAGTAGACCTATATCATTAATTAACAAGTAATAATCACTTATATCAGACAATTAAAAAAAGAGAAAAAACTACATCATTCTCTATTTTTTTCACAGCTTAAGTATTATAAGGCAGTATTGCATATTAATTAGTAGAACATGAATTTTTATGCAATTGTATCTCTGTGAATTCTTCACGATTATTAAAGCTCAATATGTTGACGGAAAAATTATATATTATGTTTTATAACATATTTACTATACTCGTATTTTAAAAGATGGTACATGTTAAAGCATTTCATGCATATTAATTATTCATAACGGCATATTAAACGTATGCTTAAACATTTATAAGTTTATCAAATGATAAAATAACTTACATCGCCAAAAAAAACATTTTTTATGTACATAAAAGGCGCATCTTTTAATACTAGCTACTCAATTTTACTTAAAATAATAATTATGTTGAGAAAATTTTTTTTAATATTTTAAATTATTTGCTGAGACGGTATTAGCTTTACTATGATGTGTTTTTTTTTTGTGTCTCTTAACACTTATTCAAAAAAAAAGTATGTCGAATAAAAGATGTATATAAATACTACTTCTCATGAAAAAATTGTATTGATCCATACAATTTTAAAAAGTTATACCATTTTAAGGTATAAAATGTATAATATAAAATCGAGAATTTTCAAACAAATATAGCATTCGGTAGCCATTTTCACCATGAAGACAAAATAAAGTCCGAAATTTTTTTTTCATAATAAAGTACATTACATTAGCTTTAATTTAAGATATATAAAAAATTGTAAGACTTTAAGTAACACTTTTTAAAAGTTTAGTTGAAAAAGTTGTTATTTTAAATCCCCCCTGTGGGCAGCTAAAGGGTCAGATTTATAAAAAAATATATACCAAATGATAGGTAAAGACATCAAACATCTATAAAAAAAAAATTATATTGNATTTTTTGTGAAAAAGTTGTTATTTTAAATCCCCCCTGTGGGCAGCTAAAGGGTCAGATTTATAAAAAAATATATACCAAATGATAGGTAAAGACATCAAACATCTATAAAAAAAAAATTATATTGATTTAATCATTTTTGGAAAAGTTATGACAGTTTAAAAAAAAAAAATTGAAAAAATTAACGATTTTTAAATTTGTAATTTTTTTGGAGGTTTCCCCCATTTACGGAGAACGAGAGAAATTTTTTCAATTTTTGGGGGTAATGTCTTCGACTAGATACGATTTGTGATCTTTTGATGTATCGTTGAAAGAAATCCGTTCGGTGAGAGATGAAAAAAAGTGGTAACAGACACAAATAAAAAAAACGCATCATAATAAAACTAATACTTTCTCAGCTTCGCATCGAAGTTAAAATTATTATAAATATGCATTATATATGCACTAGTTACAGGTCTTGCTATAAGCCTTAGTTATAAGGCGTATAGATTACAATAAATTTACATTTTTTAAAATCCTTTATTATGTGTTGAAGACTATAGGGTGTTCGGTTTGTTATAAACCACTCACTACTTGTAAAATAAATATAAATAAAAAATAATTTTTAGATTCCTATTAGTTACACGTAATTTTTGATTTATTAGCTAATAATTACTTTTTAGAATCATACCTTAAAACTTATCCACTGGGTATCACCTTGATTAGCTACTTTGCGAAGCTGATTGAGAAGGTATTGGTTTTATTATAATGTGTTTTTTTTTGTGTCTGTTACCACTTTTTTTCACCTCTCACCGAACGGATTTCTTTCAACGATACGTCAAAAGATCACAAATCGTATCTAGTCGAAGACATTACCCCCAAAAATTGAAAAAGTGTCTCTCGTTCCCCGTAAATGGGTTAAACTTCCAAAAAAATTACAAATTTAAAAATCGGTAATTTTTTCAATTTTTTTTTTTAAACTGTCATAACTTTTCCAAAAATGATCAAATCAATATAATTTTTTTTTTTTATAGATGTTTGATGACTTTACCTATTATTTGGTATATATTTTTTTATAAATCTGACCCTTTAGCTGCCCACAGGGGGGATTTAAAATAACAACTTTTTCAACTAAACTTTTTAAAAGTGTTACGTAAACACAAGGTTCCGACGGTGAGCACCGGTGTAGGGTCATAACCACCTAACTTTAGGTTTGTGTCTAAATGAGCCAGTTAGGTATAAAGTAAAAATAAATTAAATTAAATTTAAAATAAAATTAACACAATTAATATAAAAAAACAGAATTTATCTAAAATTATAGTTAAATTTTTTAACAATTGATTACAATCAATTAAAGGTAAGGTTAAATTTGTAAACATTGTAATTATTAAAATATATACTTTACAAATGTTTCTCTATAATTTTGACAAAGCGTTAATGTTGTCAAAATTAATGATTCTATTGAAATTCATTCTACGAACTTGTATTCAGTTTCTACTAATCTAATAATTTCGAACAAATTGTCCATTAGTGTTTCTATAAATATATACTTATCTGTTATATACATAATATTTTTGTTTGTAGTAACAGTACTCCAAAATTCGTAAAAATAATTATTTAATTTTGTTTCATTAACATCTTTTTTTGGGACGTTCAAAGAAAAATTAATTTTTCCATTTTTTTTCAGGTTAGGAAGAAAATTGATTAAAAAATCACTTCCCCGTTGCTGACTAATAGAGTATAACAGACACACGTAATTCTTTAACATTTCTCCAAGTTTTTCTATAATACATTTTGTGTTGCTACAATTTTCTAATTCTGAAATGTACTTTTTCAGTGCCACATGATGCAAATTATTAACTTTTTCTAAGCAATTTATTATTACATTCAAAGCATTTAAAGTAATAAATTTAACTATTTCTAGTTTTTCATTGCGTACAGTAGCTTCGTATCCATATTTTACAAGGAAATAAATATACGTGTACGTTCGTTTTTTTAAAGACCAGTGAAAGGCATTAATAGCGTTGTCAAATTCTACATTTGTTTTAGAAGTATTTGCGTTATATGCTTTGTCAAATAATTCATTGATAGTTATGCTTTTACAATTTGGGAGATATACCGTTGTGTCTTTGAGGTATTGCCACGGAGGAGAATTTTTCAATTTATTCAATTCTAATTTGTTGTTGTCCAATTTAACCAATTCTAATTTGTTGTTTCCAGTAACAAGTTGAAACACCATTATAACAAATTTTAGAAAAAGTATTGTCTTTGTCATTTTTAAATCCATTGAATATTAACTTGAACGTAATTATACAATATTTTCAAATCAACTGTCTTATTTCTTTAATATAAATACAAGTATATATACATATTTGTATTTTTTTAATTTAAATAAATTAATCAATACGTTTTACTATTTATATTAGGAAAATAATAAATTATAAAATAATACTATTTATAACACTCAAGTGCACGCAGTTAAAAAATAAAGATTATATTTGTAAATTTAATGTACATATTAAAGCGTAGCTAAGAACTTCTAAAATTCAAAGTTAACATTGGTCTTATGAGATATTTTAAACTTTTAATTTACGTTTTAAATAGACTATTTTTATTTAAACATGTAAAGACTCTGCTCTAATTTGAAATAAGATATCAAAACCAGTTCAATAACTTAGTATACGAATTGTTGATTTATCATTGACCACCGAATTCCTTCTAAAATAATATAAGTTTTTTTTTGTAATATACAATCTATTACAAAAATAATTAATAATTGACTGTAATAAGTATGAAAGATGACAGTTACCCAAAAGCATAGCTTCTAGTTATGACAAAAATCATAATTATGAAATTTTTTATTAGCTTCGATGCGAAGCTGAGTGAGAAGGTATTGGTTTTATTATAATGTGTTTTTTTTTGTGTCTGTTACCACTTTTTTTCACCTCTCACCGAACGGATTTCTTTCAACGATACGTCAAAAGATCACAAATCGTATCTAGTCGAAGACATTACCCCCAAAAATTGAAAAAGTGTCTCTCGTTCCCCGTAAATGGGTTAAACTTCCAAAAAAATTACAAATTTAAAAATCGTTAATTTTTTCAATTTTTTTTTTTTTAACTGTCATAACTTTTCCAAAAATGATCAAATCAATATAATTTTTTTTTTTATAGATGTTTGATGTCTTTTTATAATTTCTTCATGAGTAGTAGTATTTATATACATCTTTCATTCGACATATTTTTTTTTTTGCTTCGGGCCATTACCCTATAATCAGGGGGGGGTCAAATTTGAAAATGTATACCAAATGAAGAACTTTTTCAACTTAATTTTTGAAATTACTCAAATAGGAATTCAGCTTTACAAAATTTAATTGTGCTGAATTTTGTGGAGTTTAAAAATTGCGGAGAAAAAGGGATACAGGTATCATACGAATATGACACCATAACAAAAATAAGTTTCTATTGTTTAAATAATTGAACTGTTTCCTTACTTACTGAACATTCTGTATAGTATATCTTCCAGAACAAAACTCTAGTTATACCTCTATAAAAAAATACAGAATTTCAAAATTATTGAAAAATCATGAGCTTTTGACATTCAAAAGCCAGAGAACCCTTGTACACTCATTTGAATGTAAAAATATCTAATGAACTAAAATGTTTATTTTGGATACATCCAACCTAACAACAGTCAAAGGTCAAGTGGGACAAATGTTAATGAATGGGTTAATTATTCTCTTAGAGTATATAGGACAATACCAATCGTCAAGTATATAAAATGTTTAATTGTTTAAATATAAGTATAAAATTAAAGGTTATGCATTTCATTCAAAATGCATCTATGATTAACCCACTTGGCCATAATATAATA